GCCATCACCATCTGCATCCCCATTCACAGAGTAACAGTCATAGTCAGAGCCTGTGGAAACATGAGGAGTGCACCTGAGTATACGTTATAGATTAAAATTATAGACCACACTCATTAGATACCAAGATGAGCAAAACTCACATTATATCTTCAAATATGAATGCTCGATTCTCCTTACAAACACACTATATGGCCACACATTTGAGCACCATCCTGTCTATATGAACCCATTGGACATACAGTATCTTTTCAAAACCATGGCCATTAATATAGAGTTGGTTCTCATTTGAGGCTTTAACATCCTGCACTCTTCTGGGAAGGCTTTCACAAAATTTTGGTGTGTGTCTGTGGGAATTTGTGCTAATTTATGAAAACACTTCAAAGATGTTCAGTAGTATTGAGGTCAGGGCTTATGCCAGACACTCAAGTTCCTCTGCCCCAATCTGTACAGCACAGTCCTAAGGCTCACTAGTCTTCTTCATCATGGCTCCCTTACTGGTCTCCCTTTTGGTGCCCTTTTCCACCAGTCTCCTTTAATGGCTCCCTCACTTTTCTCCCCCTTGGTGGCCTTCCACACTCATCTCCTATTTTGTGACCTCCCTCACTCGTCTCCTACTTGGTGGCCTCCCTTGCTTGTCTCCCTCTTGGTAGCCTCCATCATTTGCTTTCTCTTGGTGGCCTTCCTTACTAGTCTCCCTATTAGTGGCCTCCCACACTTCGTTTTTCTCCCTCTTGATGGCCTTTCCCACAAGTCTCTTTTAGTGGCTTCTTTAATAGCCTCCCTCCTGTGACCTCTCTCGCTACTCTCCCTCTTGTCTTGGTGGATTCCCTCACTATTCTCCCTCTTGCATGGCCACAGAATTTTGATGGATAGTCTGCTCTTGGAAGATTGTGCCATACTCTTTCAAACTGTAACAATTGATGTTGCTGTACTACAAGGGACATATTTACTGACTTGGCCAGAATGTTCCATTGCTTTCATGTCATGATACCGAACTGGCAGAGGTTGGACTGTCCACATACATATGCATTTATGCTACAATCACCTTCAACAACATTCCCCCCTACTACACATAGGTGATCTCCACTTCACTGACTATGCTGCACCAGCATAATAAAGCGGGTGTATAATTATGCAGCCAATCACGTACAGGGAACTGTTATCATTCTGACTTAAATCTATATATGTAGATACAAGTTTCAGTGTTGTGAATCTTTTTATTTTAAACACTATACATATGTGTGCCCGCCATGGTGGTGAATTGGTGGGGTGTGAAGTATCAGTAAAATTATGAAAGGATGGTGGGGAACACCCAAAGTTTTTACCTTGTGATGGAATTGTGTCCTCGGAGCAGGACGGGGTCGTAGTTTGGGTACTGTAGCCACTAGAGTATTGTAGAGAATCACGACTGCTTTTCTGGTGCTCCAGGCTCAGCCCGCGGGTCAGTACCATGGCCAGGTCACTGGCGGCTGGGGACACTTCCTCTCCATGCTGCCACATCAAGACAAAAGAAATTATTTTGTTTTACGCCTTCTGAACATCTGACTATAATGCAGATCTATAAAATGACTGAGAAATCATTAGCTTGTACTGGGCATTGGCAGTAAAAAGAGGGCAAAGTCCTTCTATGGGCTGACTGCACTGCATATTGCCTGTATATATTGTAAATAGTGATTAGTGTTGGTGGTCGCTGGTGTACCTAGTGTATTCGACACTATTATTTTGATACACTATATATTTATTTCATGATATTAATTTAGTTGTTGGTATTATCTTAATATCAGGGCCGTTCAAATCAAACCTGGACCTTTGAGTTTATATAATAAAAGAACAAAGGTCAAGGAGTGGAAAATGCATTTATTTTTCATCATACTCCCCTGCTACATTTGTACACTTATCCCAGCGTTTCACTAATGCCTGGAAAGCTTCCGCATAGAGAGATTTGTCAGTACTCCTGAACCATCCTAGGATGGCCTGCTTCACTTCGTCATCATTCTGTTCACCATTCCCACAGAAAGATTTGTCTCTTGTGCAACTTCATGACAGGTTATCGATTATCCAGGATCAGGCGTTCCACACTGTGAATGTTCACAGGAATGGCTGCTGTGGGCTGGGAACACACTGCTGTGGGTTGAAATCGTCGCTGATGGACATACCGCCATCTTTCAAAATGTTTACACCATTCAAATGTCTTACTGCAGCTGAGCGTCTCATCATCGTACTGTGCTTGAAGTCTTCTGTAGATCTCCGCAGATTTTCCACCTTCATTCACAACAAAATTCATCACTACGCGATGTTCCATGCAAGCACTAACACTGTTGTCTGTCATCTTGATTAACAGTCTCAGGACTGTGCCGCCCATCAGTAATAGGACACACTTGCCACTTACTACCGCATGTAGTACTGCCACGCTAGCATCCCTTTTTATACCTGTACAATTTAAAGTCCTGATTTAACTTGAACACCCCTCGTACACTGTGCATTTATTATTAGATTGCTTTATTTATTGATATTTTGAGAGCTAGATTTATTTATTGAGATTATTTTGATACATTTATTTATTTTTAAACGTATGTATTTATTGATACAATTTGTTACACTGTGCATTTATTTATTTATAGATTGATATAATTTGATAGACTGTATATTTATTTGAGGATACAGATTTATTTACTGATATCATTTTCATACATTATATATTTTTTGAGGGGATATTGATTTTTTTTTTAAATTGATATTATTTTGATACATTGTGTATTTATTTTACATAGATTCATTTAGGAGCACTCTAGGTTTATGATTTCTGAAATCTCTTTGAGATATTTATACAGCAGATTTAGGGTGGTGAGTATAAAGCAGTGAGAGCATGGAATAATTACATATTTCAATCAAATTCCATACCCAGGCAATAATTAATTGTTAAAGTATGCAGGCAACAAATAGGAAAAAATTTGAATATGTGGACAACTACCCCAACACCAGTTCAACAATAATCCCCCAGCAATAATGGAAGAGGGTAGTTAGTGCACCCAACACAACAAACACTTTACTCCTGCGCTAGGAAAGGACTCAGTAGACCCAATAGGAATGTTCTGGAATTTTCTGGAATATGCACTGCTTGCTGCCCTCAACAGACTGGGGTGGTCCGAATACACTGGATAGAAATGGAGAAACAGAAAAAGGGCGCACCGACCTAGTGCATTATCGTTTAAAATAATTTATTAAAGAAACAAAAATAGGTATCATACTCACAATGGACATAATAACACAGGCATGTCAAACTGAACAAGGTGTATGATCCAAACAACATCTGAGTCCATACGATGGAACCCTGGATGACCAACTGGCTAACGCGTTTAGAGGACACAACCTCTTCCTCAGAGAGTTGGACTCAGATGTTGTTTGGATCATACACCTTGTTCAGTTTGACATGCATGTGTTATTATGTCCATTGTGAGTATGATACCTATTTTTGTTTCTTTAATAAATTATTTTAAACGATAATGCACTAGGTCGGTGTGCCCTTTTTCTGTTTCTCCATTTGTATCCAAGGTAGTTAGTGCACCCACTGGCCCCCACTAGGCACACCACCATTGGTATTACGTAATAAGTGGATGTAATGTGGGCTGCTGATAGGAGATTGGGTCTGTCTGTTGTTCCATAGCAGCCAATTCACATCCTCCCTGGAGAAGGATATCTGGAGATTGGGATCCTGTTTGATTAATGTTGGGAATAATGGTGGCCCTGTCCCAGCCATCCCTGTAAAAGAAGCCCACCATTCCCATCAGGACAGACCATATTATGATCCCTTGATGCTGACTCGTCCCTCTGGGTCTATATCTGGTGCTCACAGCCCTGATCCTTAATCATGTCTCAATCGGAAGCCCACCTTAGCAGCAATGACAGCAGGGGACATCCGAGGGCGGTAAGGGTCTTCCAAAATCTGATAACCAGGACCGAGCTCTGCTTCTCGAAGGTGTTCAACGCGATCCTTCCTACGCTGCATGGAACTGGCCGGAGGAGTTTCATATTGGCCGGAGCGGGGGGGTTCACCAGTCCTATAACAAAGATCGATTATAGGTGATTGTGTGATTCTGGTACAATGCCTCCCAAGGGCGATTATTAGAGCGCAATTATCCCTAATAACGCTTAAAGATGCTCCTCCTCTTCGCAGCAATGTTTTGGCAAAAAAACGCCTCACGCTTGTCAAAGCATTTAGGAGCCTTTGCAAATGTCAAGCACTTGGACATTATTAATAATTTTATAATATTTGATTCTGGCTATTAAAATGAATAATGCTCAAGCGCTAAACATGCCTAGCGTTAACATGCATTTAGGCGCATTTGTTTACACGTGTGAAGTGTTTTTTTTTTGCCAAAACGCTGTTGCTTCTGGACGTACGGGCTCTGGATTTTTTTTTACCTACTGGTGAACGCTACTGCTACTAAAATCTTCTAAAAGTCTGTCTGCATGGACACATAGGATAACATGGAGGGCTGTTTGGAAGCAGTAAGAAAAAACATCTGATGCCTCTAAAAGTGGCTTCAAAAACTCCCTGCGTGCATGAATACATATTTGGTCAGATCAACATTGTACTGACAATCTCCATGTTCTTCATGTTACCACTACTTTTGTGTCGAGTGTCTAATATACTGTATATCTGTGTAGTCCAATAATTACCAGAGTCAGGGCTGAGCCTGATGGAGGTTTGTGTTGTGCTGCCACCTTTGTGTGGCCTTTGTGGGAACAACCCCCTAAGCAGCCCTACAATAGTTTCACTGCCTGTTATACTTTGTCTTTTGCTTGTTCCATACCTTGTTACCATTTTATCAGCATTGTCGGTTTATCTTACATTCCTACAGTAGACTTCAAGTTGCACATTTCAGTTTGTCTGATCCTGGCTGATACCTCTATGTAACCAAAGATCCTGGTGACTTGCATCTTGGACTGAATGACCCCCTCCAATTCCCATTTCAGAACAATAAAGAAGAGACACTTACTGAAGTGGGTGAGCTACACTCACTGACGGACTGACATGTCTCTGAGGCCTCTGAAGATGCCGAGCTCGATGACTTCTGATGAGCGGAAGAGACATGTTGGAGAGACATTTTAGCAGGAGCTTGGTATTTACAGAATGGCAAAAGACACTTGCACAGCACCCCAAAATGCCTACCTGACTCGTGATATCCGACGGCATAGGCGATGGCGGCTTGGAGTAGATGGTCTCATGGGAACTACATCCCGAATCCTGGGAGGATGCACTGACCAAGCGCTGGCCACCTCCGGCGGTCTGTGGGAGGCTGCGATATCGATACGTGGAACCCGGTGAGTGGGGGTGCGAGGCAGCTTGCCAGGAGGGGGTAGTTTTTGTACTGTGTGATAAATGGTCAGAGCATTGGTGAGGTAAGAGAGGTGAGTACTGGATACGGGGGGTCTACGTCAGCTCTTTTCAACCGTGAGCCTCCCCTTAACAGATCTGCACCAAACTCCAAATCATTTATAATATAAGCTTCCTGTCTAAACCTTTTCCATGGACATTATCAGTCCTACTAAAATGTAACTAAGGAATTGTTTTACAAACCCACCCGCGCAGAATCATTTGATGGGAGGAATGTTTCCCAGGGGCCCTGCCATGGCACGGTTGAGAGGCGCTGCTCTAGATAACAGTGTGTATTAATGAGGAGGGGAAGGCAGGAGAATTTGCTGCTCTCCAGCTATGGTGGCGATATGGAAGCCACCGCAAACCTCGCTGTGTTTGGTAGTGCCTGCAGGCAGCTGAGGGATCAGCTTGGTTTTGGCTTCAATATGTGATTGGATGGTGAGGGAGGGGAGTGTACTACAGGTGCTCAGGTGGACTTACCTGCACATGCTGGACTTGCGAGATCCCGAGCTGCTGGGAGAAGATGGAGGAGTCTGATAGGACCAGGAGTAGTCTGATCCCTTCAGATCCTTAATGACCTACAAGACACGACACATGTACAGTATGTCTCATTATTCAGTTGGGAGGAATAAAGTAACCCCCGTGTTATAATTGTATTGTTCTCTCTACAACCCTTAAAGGATCCTATTGTCATTGTCTTCCATTTATATACATTTATAGATCTCTTGCATATTCTGTACTGCTGTTCAGAGGATACTGGGCCAGTAAAATTAGCCTCTGCACCAAAGTAGCTTACACTCTAATGTCCCCCACAGTCACTCACTATTAATATTATTATACATTTATATAGCTCTGACATACTGCAGTGTTGTACAGACAACACTCAGCCAGTCACTGCACCAAAGGAGCTAACACTCTAATGTGCACTGCCTATGATGTCATACACTGTCCTCATCTCACCTGTTCACTGGCAGCAGGAAGTTTATGTGGCTCATCGCTCAGCACCATCAGATCATCAATGATTGCTTGCAGGTGGGTCACCTCTCCCAGAAGATGGATTTCCCCTGTCTGAAACAAGAGAATATTGTGTTTGAACTATCTGATGTGACCACAGCTGGGTGGAGTAACTGGACATATTGTCCACATCCAGGGGCTCATAATCTTCATTTGGCTTTCAGCTGTCTGCAATGTTGCTACAGGTAGAGTTCCATTGGGTGCTCAAAGTACTCTCTGTGTAACATAACTTTCATAACTACAGAGCTGAACAAAGATTGTTCAATGTATGCACTATATGGCCAAACATCTGTGAACCCCTGACCATCACCCATATATGAGTTTGGTGAACACCCCATTTTAAAACCCTGAGCACTAATATGGAGTTCCACCACCCTCACCATGGCCATCAATATGGAGTAGCCCCCTTTCCATGGTCATTAATATGGAGTTGTCCACCCCCTACCACACCCATTAATATGGAGTGGCTCCCCCCCATAGCCATTAATATGGAGTTGCCTCCTCCCCAACCATGGCCATTAATATGGAGTTGTCGCTTTCGCATGGCAATTTTTATGGAGTTGCCTTCTCTCACTCCATGGCCATTAATAGAAAAAATGCCCCCATCCCATTGCTGTTAATATGGAGATGTCCCTCTCCCCCATTTTGCCATTAATATTGAACTGGCTCCAATGTTCCCATGATCAAAAACATGGAGTGGCCTTCCCTTGCCCCACTGTCATCAATATGGAGTTGACCTCCTCCCCACTTCCATTAATATGGCGTTGTCATCTCCCATGGACATTAATATGGAGTTGCCTCCCCCTTGCCATGGCCCTTAATGTTGGGTTGCGGCTTTCCCATGGCCATTAATATAGAGTTGCCTCCCCCGCACTCCATGGTTATTAATATAAAATTTCCCCTCTCCCATGGCTGTTAATATGGATATGTCCCTTTTCCCCATGACCAGTAATATTGTTAGTTGGTTCCCCCTCTCCCATGGTCAATATAATATGGAGTGGCCTTCTCACACTCCATTGCCATTAATATGAAGTTGCCTTCCCCCATGAACATTAATATGGAGTTGACCCCTTTGTGACTTTAACATCCTCCACTCTTCTAGGAAGGCTTTTCACAAGATTTTGGAGGGTGTCTGTGGGAATTACTGTTCCTATGCCATTATCTTGTCTGCTCTGTCTTCATTACTGTCTTAATCAAATAAAGTTATTTGCAATTACAATCCTCCATGTGAATATCTAGAGAAGAGTCCTCTACAGCCAATACCTGGGGTAAAGAAGCGTGTTAACTATGAAGAGTATGATGGATATGAGATGAATGTGCAAATCTGGTGTGTCATGAAGACGTTAAGCAGCAAAGGCCAGACGTACAAACAAAGAAGGCCTTTGGCCCTCGTGGGTGCACATTGTGATATGGTGGGGATGGACTGTTGGTAGTGCCCTGTAAGCTGTATTCTAAGCAGTGATCCAGCTGCTTGTACTGGCCATGTGCAGGCAGCCTGGGTACCCCCCCCCACATGGAGTTTTCCTCCCTTTGTAACTATAGCATTATTCACTCTTCTGGGAAGGCTTTCCACAAGATTTTGCAAGGGTGCCTGTGGGAATTTGTGCTCATTTGTGAGGTCCGACAGTGATGTTGGATGAGAAGACATGGATCACAATCAGTATTCCAATTCATCCCAAAGATGGGGGGAGGCAACTCCATATTAATGGCCATGGTAAAGCGATAACTTAATAATAATGGCCATGTGAGAAGGCAACTCCATAATAATGGCAGTGGGGGGAGGGCTACTCCATATTAATGGAAATGGGGAAAGGGGAGGCCACTCCAAATTATTGACCGTTATTGTTGAGGTCAGGGCTCTGTGTAGGACACTTGAGTTCCTCCACATCAAACTGGTCAAACCATGTCTTATGAATCAATAAAATGGGTGAAATTATTTTTCAGTTTGTGAAATGTTCCACCTGAAATGTTATCAGCACAGCCTCCTGCATAATATACATATCTGACACACTGTAATGTTTGGTTGGACAATAACTGAACCCCTTGACCATATCTCCATGTTTAATGCATTGAGTTGCACCAGTCCCACTGGCTGTTTGACCAGCAGGCATACCCAATAAAGTAGCTCTGAGTGCACATGGCTTTGTTTGCAGCCTTGGACAGATGTTGATTTCAAGCATGTTTGATGTTAGGTACTCACCACCACAGGCTGTAAGAGTGCAATGAATGTACAGAAGCGCCCGCGCTCCTCGATAAGCGCCCTGCGCACAGCCTGCTTCTCCGTCTCCTCCAGCAGCAGGTACATGTCGTTCACATCTTGTAGAGCATGGTCCAGCTGGGGCTGTAAATCACCCTTTCCTGCGTGCCAAATAAACAGCCAATGTCATCAAGGGCCACACCATGGGTCTGTGTTATGTGTGCCGATCTACTGTGTTAAATTATACCTAGCCTAGGACAACCAATCAAAGCCCAGCTGTAACTCCTGAGGGGGTAAGAGCAGTCAATAAAATAGGATTATTTTTCTCATTGTAAAATCTTTTCCTTAGCGTCCACTGAGGGAAGCCACAAACTGTTGGTTAGAGTACCATCTACCAATCCTCCTGAGGGCAGCAGTATAACCCGACAGTTAATGAGTTCCTGTTTCTCTTAATGGATGAGAAAGAAAATCATCATTCCATCAGCAGTGGATTGTATAGAGTCGTAGACAGGGGCGGACTGACCAATTGGAAACTCGGGCACTGCCCGAGGGCCTGGGGTCAGTAGGGGACCCCATGAGATGCCCCTGGTACCTTTTTCATAGGCTTTTTTGAGTTTGGGCAAGGACACAGGAGCCCCATGATCCCCTATTGCACGGGGGCCCCATAAGTTGACAGTCCGCCCCTGGTCGTAGATGTGAATTCATTTGTGGAAACTGGAAGAAAATTTTTAAACTATTTTTTTTAATTGTTTTTTTTCACTTTTTTTCAATTTTTTTGGAACACTTTTTGGGGCTGTGGTGAAATATCAGGGGTCTAAACAGATTCCTGATGTCTTACTTTTGAGACAGAGAAAGGCATTGAGGACATAGACTCCCAATCTTTTCTCTGTAGCCTCAGCTGCACCGCAGATGAATGAACAGGTAGTGCTCTGTACAGTGGCTCTATGTTCATTCAGAAACTAAAGCACAGTTTACTGGAACCAGCAGGAGGGAGAGGAGGAGAAGCCAGTTTTCAGCTGCTGCAGGGAGAGCCACACAGGGGGACTGTTTCCATTAACCCCCTCCCCACGTTGCACCGATCACCCTCCCTGTCCAGCAACTGATTCCCCCTACTTGTCAGCTGCTCTTATTGACGGCCCTGCATCTGTCTAAAGCAGCCTTTCTCAACCAGGGTGCCTTGAGGTTTCTGCAGGGGTGCCTTGGCAAAATGTCTAAAAATTGCCCAAAACTTGTATATAAGCCAGCGGGTGGAACATGCCTGCCTTTTAGTTACACAAAGCCACAGGCTTTCATTGTGCACCATTACAACCTTCTAGCCGCCAGCATCCTGACAACCAATGACATCATCAGTTGATAAGGAAGATGTCAGCTGCCTGCACAGCATCCTAGTTTGACCCTCCCCTGCCCTATCCATCAGTGTTGGGGTCACATTAGCTCCGTAATGGAGAAAAACTGAGGGAGAAGAGAAACACTGGCATACTAGTCAGTACCAGTGTGCAAAAGTGTATTTTCTTTGGAAGAATAAATCACCTCTAATGCTGGGTGTCCTACTTGTGTGGATGTTGCTGTGTTATATAAAACTATTAGAATAGTTTTTCACATTTTAGAATGGGGTGCCTCGAGACTCTCCGTAACGTTAAAGGGTGCCTCAAGACTCTCCATAACTTTAAAGGATGCCCCGAGACTCTCCATAATTGTAAAGGGTGCCTGGACTTACAAAAAGGTTGAGAAACACTGATCTAAAGCCTCCACATACAGTCAGTGGGAATATCTGGTCTAATAGAGTCTAGAGCAGTGGTGGCGAACCCGTGGCACGAGTGCCACAGCCGGCACGCCGAGCCTTATCTGTGGGCACGCCAGGAGAATCCAGCGGCGCGCTGTCTTCCCGGCTGTAGTGTGCGTGACAGCCGGGTCCCAAGTGCGCATGCACAAGAAGCAGTGCTCCTTGTGAATGGTAAGGCGGTACCTGGGACACATGACAGATCCCAGAAGCCGCCGGACCAATCACAAAGCGCAGCGCTTCTCGCGCATGCGCACTGGGCATCCGGCTGTCCGACGAGCGCCCACACTACAGAAGCCGGGAAGACAGCGCGCGGCTGGATCGAGGAACAGGTAAGATAAAAAAAAAAAAACTCTGCGGAAGTAAGAGCGGGTACCTGTCAAATTCAGGTACCCGCTCCCCCTCCCTCCCCAAAGGTCAGCAGTCATCCCTGTGCTGTGTCCCCAGTCTCTGGTCATCCCTGTGCTGTGTCCCCAGTCTCTGGTCATCTCCTGTACTGTGTCCGCAGTCTCTGGTCATCCCTGTGCTGTGTCCCCAGTCTCTGGTCATCCCTGTGCTGTGTCCCCAGTCTCTGGTCATCCCTGTGCTGTGTCCCCAGTCTCTGGTCATCCCTGTGCTGTGTCCCCAGTCTCTGGTCATCCCTGTGCTGTGTCCCCAGTCTCTGGTCATCCCTGTGCTGTGTCCCTAGTCTCTGGTCATCCCTGTGCTGTGTCCCCAGTCTCTGGTCATCCCTGTGCTGTGTCCCCAGTCTCTGGTCATCCCTGTGCTGTGTCCCCAGTCTCTGGTCATCCCTGTGCTGTGTCCCCAGTCTCTGGTCATCCCTGTGCTGTGTCCCCAGTCTCTGGTCATCCCTGTGCTGTGTCCCCAGTCTCTGGTCATCCCTGTGCTGTGTCCCCAGTCTCTGGTCATCTCCTGTGCTGTGTCCCCAGTCTCTGGTCATCTCCTGTGCTGTGTCCCCAGTCTCTGGTCATCTCCTGTGCTGTGTCCCCAGTCTCTGGTCATCTCCTGTGCTGTGTCCCAGTCTCTGGTCATCTCCTGTGCTGTGTCCGCAGTCTCTGGTCATCCCTGTACTGTGTCCGCAGTCTCTGGTCATCCCTGTGCTGTGTCCGCAGTCTCTGGTCATCCCTGTGCTGTGTCCGCAGTCTCTGGTCATCCCTGTGCTGTGTCCGCAGTCTCTGGTCATCCCTGTGCTGTGTCTGCAGTCTCTGGTCATCCCTGTGCTGTGTCCGCAGTCTCTGGTCATCCCTGTGCTGTGTCCGCAGTCTCTGGTCATCCCTGTACTGTGTCCGCAGTCTCTGGTCATCCCTGTACTGTGTCCGCAGTCTCTGGTCATCCCTGTACTGTGTCCGCAGTCTCTGGTCATCCCTGTACTGTGTCCGCAGTCTCTGGTCATCCCTGTACTGTGTCCGCAGTCTCTGGTCATCCCTGTACTGTGTCTGCAGTCTCTGGTCATCCCTGTACTGTGTCCGCAGTCTCTGGTCATCCCTGTACTGTCCGCAGTTCTGGTCATCCCTGTACTGTGTCCGCAGTCTCTGGTCATCCCTGTACTGTGTCCGCAGTCTCTGGTCATCCCTGTACTGTGTCCGCAGTCTCTGGTCATCCCTGTACTGTGTCCGCAGTCTCTGGTCATCCCTGTACTGTTAATTAGTTTGCACTACTGTACGAGTTGTTTTTTCTAAACCAAAAGCTTGATATTCAGGTTTCATTGCAGTGTTGGCACTTTGAAAGAAATAAGTTGGTTTTGGGTTGCAGTTTGGGCACTCGGGCTCAAAAAGGTTCGCCATCACTGGTCTAGAGCAGTGGTGGCGAACCCGTGGCACGCGTGCCACAGCCGGCACGCCGAGCCTTATCTGTGGGCACGCCAGGAGAATCCAGCGGCGCGCTGTCTTCCCGGCTGTAGTGTGCGTGACAGCCGGGTCCCAAGTGCGCATGCACAAGAAGCAGTGCTCCTTGTGAATGGTAAGGCGGTACCTGGGACACATGACAGATCCCAGAAGCCGCCGGACCAATCACAAAGCGCAGCGCTTCTCGCGCATGCGCACTGGGCATCCGGCTGTCCGACGAGCGCCCACACTACAGAAGCCGGGAAGACAGCGCGCGGCTGGATCGAGGAACAGGTAAGATAAAAAAAAAAAAACTCTGCGGAAGTAAGAGCGGGTACCTGTCAAATTCAGGTACCCGCTCCCCCTCCCTCCCCAAAGGTCAGCAGTCATCCCTGTGCTGTGTCCCCAGTCTCTGGTCATCCCTGTGCTGTGTCCCCAGTCTCTGGTCATCTCCTGTACTGTGTCCGCAGTCTCTGGTCATCCCTGTGCTGTGTCCCCAGTCTCTGGTCATCCCTGTGCTGTGTCCCCAGTCTCTGGTCATCCCTGTGCTGTGTCCCCAGTCTCTGGTCATCCCTGTGCTGTGTCCCCAGTCTCTGGTCATCTCCTGTACTGTGTCCGCAGTCTCTGGTCATCTCCTGTACTGTGTCCCCAGTCTCTGGTCATCCCTGTGCTGTGTCCCCAGTCTCTGGTCATCCCTGTGCTGTGTCCCCAGTCTCTGGTCATCCCTGTGCTGTGTCCCCAGTCTCTGGTCATCCCTGTGCTGTGTCCCCAGTCTCTGGTCATCCCTGTGCTGTGTCCCCAGTCTCTGGTCATCCCTGTGCTGTGTCCCCAGTCTCTGGTCATCCCTGTGCTGTGTCCCCAGTCTCTGGTCATCCCTGTGCTGTGTCCCCAGTCTCTGGTCATCCCTGTGCTGTGTCCCCAGTCTCTGGTCATCTCCTGTGCTGTGTCCCCAGTCTCTGGTCATCTCCTGTGCTGTGTCCCCAGTCTCTGGTCATCTCCTGTGCTGTGTCCCCAGTCTCTGGTCAGCTCCTGTGCTGTGTCCCCAGTCTCTGGTCATCTCCTGTGCTGTGTCCCCAGTCTCTGGTCATCTCCTGTGCTGTGTCCCCAGTCTCTGGTCATCTCCTGTGCTGTGTCCGCAGTCTCTGGTCATCCCTGTACTGTGTCCGCAGTCTCTGGTCATCCCTGTACTGTGTCCGCAGTCTCTGGTCATCCCTGTGCTGTGTCCGCAGTCTCTGGTCATCCCTGTGCTGTGTCCGCAGTCTCTGGTCATCCCTGTGCTGTGTCCGCAGTCTCTGGTCATCCCTGTGCTGTGTCCACAGTCTCTGGTCATCCCTGTACTGTGTCCGCAGTCTCTGGTCATCCCTGTACTGTGTCCGCAGTCTCTGGTCATCCCTGTGCTGTGTCCGCAGTCTCTGGTCATCCCTGTGCTGTGTCCGCAGTCTCTGGTCATCCCTGTGCTGTGTCCGCAGTCTCTGGTCATCCCTGTGCTGTGTCCGCAGTCTCTGGTCATCCCTGTACTGTGTCCGCAGTCTCTGGTCATCCCTGTACTGTGTCCGCAGTCTCTGGTCATCCCTGTACTGTGTCCGCAGTCTCTGGTCATCCCTGTACTGTGTTCGCAGTCTCTGGTCATCCCTGTACTGTGTCCGCAGTCTCTGGTCATCCCTGTACTGTGTCCGCAGTCTCTGGTCATCCCTGTACTGTGTCCGCAGTCTCTGGTCATCCCTGTACTGTGTCCGCAGTCTCTGGTCATCCCTGTACTGTGTCCGCAGTCTCTGGTCATCCCTGTACTGTCCACAGTTCTGGTCATCCCTGTACTGTCCGCAGTTCTGGTCATCCCTGTACTGTGTCCGCAGTCTCTGGTCATCCCTGTACTGTGTCCGCAGTCTCTGGTCATCCCTGTACTGTGTCCGCAGTCTCTGGTCATCCCTGTACTGTGTTCGCAGTCTCTGGTCATCCCTGTACTGTGTCCGCAGTCTCTGGTCATCCCTGTACTGTGTCCGCAGTCTCTGGTCATCCCTGTACTGTGTCCGCAGTCTCTGGTCATCCCTGTACTGTGTCCGCAGTCTCTGGTCATCCCTGTACTGTGTCCGCAGTCTCTGGTCATCCCTGTACTGTGTCCGCAGTCTCTGGTCATCCCTGTACTGTCCACAGTTCTGGTCATCCCTGTACTGTCCGCAGTTCTGGTCATCCCTGTACTGTGTCCGCAGTCTCTGGTCATCCCTGTACTGTGTCCGCAGTCTCTGGTCATCCCTGTACTGTGTCCGCAGTCTCTGGTCATCCCTGTACTGTGTTCGCAGTCTCTGGTCATCCCTGTACTGTGTCCGCAGTCTCTGGTCATCCCTGTACTGTGTCCGCAGTCTCTGGTCATCCCTGTACTGTGTCCGCAGTCTCTGGTCATCCCTGTACTGTGTCCGCAGTCTCTGGTCATCCCTGTACTGTGTCCGCAGTCTCTGGTCATCCCTGTACTGTCCACAGTTCTGGTCATCCCTGTACTGTCCGCAGTTCTGGTCATCCCTGTACTGTGTCCGCAGTCTCTGGTCATCCCTGTACTGTGTCCGCAGTCTCTGGTCATCCCTGTACTGTCCGCAGTTCTGGTCATCCCTGTACTGTCCGCAGTTCTGGTCATCCCTGTACTGTGTCCGCAGTCTCTGGTCATCCCTGTACTGTGTCCGCAGTCTCTGGTCATCCCCTGTACTGTGTCCGCAGTCTCTGGTCATCCCTGTACTGTGTCCGCAGTCTCTGGTCATCCCTGTACTGTTAATTAGTTTGCACTACTGTACGAGTTGTTTTTTCTAAACCCAAAAGCTCGATATTCAGGTTTCATTGCAGTGTTGGCACTTTGAAAGAAATAAGTTGGTTTTGGGTTGCAGTTTGGGCACTCGGGCTCAAAAAGGTTCGCCATCACTGGTCTAGAGTATTATTTTCAGAAACTTCCACAATCCAAGCACAAACTGATCTGATGGCAGAAAATGTGACTGGTTATTTCAGACTGGTTGCCATTGGCTACCATACATTGATTTTTGTCTGACTAAAATGCCTCTAGAAGGAGGTGCAGAGGATTTCTCAGTGTGTGGCAGAGGACGGCGGTATTAGGAGATAGAAAGAAACAGGAATGTTAAAGTGAATCTAAACCCAAAAACAAAACTGTATCACAGCATACCTGTCCTTAGATGCGGCAACTGCATTCATTTTCTTTTTTCCTTTATTTTCACTTGGTGATCCTGCCAGTAACACACACCCTGTCCTAGGATGACAGTGTTCACTGTACTGTATCCATGGGGTAGCAGTGCTGTCATCCAAGGCTGCTCTCCTGGTTTGGATGCCAACCCCTCTCCCCACACCTCCTCATCCACGTTCGTTCATAGTTTACAGAGAATAGCTGGGAAAGCTGATAACATTATGTGGGATTTAAGGTGAGCTCACAGGAAGTGACAAGGACATTGGATTTCTGGCAGGATCAACAGGTGTTTTCTGTACTGGCTGAAAATGTTTCTAGGCCTTATAAAGGAAAACTAATGCATACACCACATCTAAGGGTTGGCATTGGCTGCAATATAGAAAAAATGTTGTTTTTGTCTTTAGATATCCTTTAACATGCTGAATTAATATCAGAGAATAAAAATAATAAGTGTATATTAGGGCAGACAGAAGACCCCCCCTCCCCCTACCACTTACCGAGAACTTCTACAAGGAGATTGGAGGAGTCGGAGGAGGAGAAGGAGAAGCCATGCAAGAAAAAGGAGAGAAACATCAGAGGGGAGAGCAACATTATTTCCAGACCCCCCCCCGCAGCTGGTCTCAAGCAGGAAACAGTTAATGCAAGACAGGTGACAATGTGTGTACAGAGATCCTTCATTATAACAATGTATGGAGGGATCCTTCCCTAGATTTATATTATACATTATAACAATGTATCAAGAGATCTTTCATTAGATTTACAGTGTACTATACATTATAACAATATACAGATTGATTCTTCATTAGATAATTATTATACATTATAACAATGTATGGGGAGATCCTCCATTCCACTACTGTCTACTTTCATAAGTATAGTGTGTACATAGCACTCTCTTAGTGTAACATCTAGCATAGCACTGTCCTCCATTCCAGTACTGCCTCCTTCCATAAGACGTTTAGAAATGTAGTAGCAATTTTGGAAAACCAGGAAACTCCGGACATGGACCTTGAGAAAAACAAAGTGATTTATAAAAAACAGCGCTGTTTGACCCAGCTGGGCTCATGCCTGCAAAGCCGAGTGAGTTGTATCCACTTCTTTCAAGCGTATATACCAATAATTACATCACAATGCATATTTTTCCTCTTTCACTTTCTATATAATCAAAAGACTTTCTAAACTCTGCAGAATATAGCTTTGAATTCCAGCTACAGATAAGGGTGCTAGCTACAGGAATAAAGTGAGGGGGAAAGAGAGCTGAAAGCCTTGCTTTGCAAGCAGATACTGTTAGAAATGTTAAAGTTTAAAGGGGAACTCTGCAATATTGGGTGCTGCCACAGTATGTATATAGCACTCTCTTGTTGTAATATCTGGCACTCTCTGTATGGCAATGTTTTGCATTCCAGTACTGGCTTCTTCCATAGGAAGTGTAGTGTGTATATAGCACTCTCTTAGTGTAATATCTAGCATAGCACTGCCCTCCTTTCCAGTACTGCCTCCTTTCATAAGATGTTTAGGATGCATATAGCACTCTCTTGTTATAATATCTAGCACTCTTTGTATGGAAATCTTTTGCATTCCAGTACTTGCTTCTTCAATAGGAAGTGTAGTGTGTATATAGCACTCTCTTAGTGTAATATCTAGCATAGCACTGTCCTCTATTCCAGTACTGCCTCCTTCCATAAGACGTTTAGAAATGTAGTAGCAATTTTGGAAAACCAGGAAACTCCGCACACAGACCTTGAGTAAAACAAGTTATTTATAAAAAACAGCGCTGTTTGACCCAGCCGGGCTCATCCTTCAAAGCCAAGTGAGTTGTATCCACTTCTTACAAGCATATATACCAATAATTACATCACAATGCATATTTTTCCTCTTTCACTTTCTATACATTCAAAAGACTTTCTAAACTCTGCAGAATATATCCTTGAATTCCAGCTACAGATAAGGGTGCTAGCTACAGGAAATAAGGAAAGTGATCTGAAAGCCTTGCTTTGCAAGCAGATGCTGTTAGAAATGTTTAAGTTTAAAGGGGAACTCTACAATATTGCGTGCTGCCACAGTATGTATATAGCACTCTCTTGTTGTAATATCTAGCACTCTCTGTATGGCAATGTTTTGCATTCCAGTACTGGCTTCTTCCATAGGAAGTGTAGTGTGTATATAGCACTCTCTTAGTGTAATATCTAGCTTAGCACTGTCCTCCTTTCCAATACTGCCTCCTTCCATAAGACGTTTTGTATGTATATAGCACTCTCTTGTTATAATATCTAGCACTCTCTGTATGGCAATGTTTTGCATTCCAGTACTGGCTTCTTCCATAGGAAATGTAGTCTGTATATAGCACTCTCTTAGTGTAAGATCTAGCATAGCACTGTCCTCCTTTCCAGTACTGGCTCCTTTCATAAGTATAGTGTGTATATAGCACTCTCTTGCTGTAAAATGTAGCACTCTCTGGCCTACCAAAGGTTTTAAGACAGAGAAAGGCATTAAGGACCTAGATCCCCAATCCTTTCTCCGCAGTCTCAGCTGCACTGCAGATGACTGAACTGGAAGTGCTCTTTACAGAGGATCCCTGTCCATTCACAAACTGAAGCATAGTAAGGCAGATGTTGGCACCAAATTGTACAGTCCCTGCCCATTTTGCTCAGCTAGGACAACCACCCACCTGTTGTTGAGATAACCTCCCCCCATGTTGTGTCATACTCCTGGCCAGAAGCCCGATCTTGACATCCCGACCCAAAATCCTTATTATTTAAGAATAAAAGGAATGTCCACACTCAAATGCATTTCCAGCACAACTTCGCATAACTTCCCGTGACATATTTGACATACTAGCAGATCTTTCTGCACAGAACACCACATGTGAGGTTAGACGTTCTGTTGTGGTCACTTCACTGCAGAGTACACATCTTTCAGCTAAGCCATCTTCCCTCTCTCCTTGGGAGCTGGGACCACAGAGTTGGAACCATATCCCTATGTGTACTAAGTCCACAGCATTAGGCGTCCATCACCAAGTCACAGGACCTGCAGTCAAGGGTCAGAGGGAACAAGGTGCTTCCAATAGTATACCAGTCTCTTCTCAAAGTCCCTTCTTTAGCTCTGTCCAACTGGGCATGGTCCCAGGTGACATACTCATCATACTCATTCCCAACCTTGCACCATTACTCACATCAGAGAACTGACCAGGCCTACAAGGCCTTACGCACCCTGCTACAGGACCAGCAGAGGGAGGTCAGGGGAGACAGGGAGAGTACAACTATTCCTCCCATGATCTATACCACCTCGCCTGGGAACCCAGCCCTGCAAAGGGCCCTTTAGATCAGCTCTGCCGGAGACTACATCTTAGCAACTCTGAGGTGTCCTGTTCCCATACTGTGGACTCTCTGATAGGGGTCCTCCCACACTGGCATTTATATGGGCACTAACTCCACCCATTACATCATCAAAGGAGGGATTTCTCTAAAAGGGGAGCTAACACCTGCTTACAACTTTCCCCTTATCATACCACATTGGTAACAGAGCCATCTAGTGGCAGGCAAGTTAACTGCACCCGCCAACACTGTCCTTTCCAGTACTGGCTCTTTCCATAAGAAATGTAGGGTGTATAGCATTTTCTTGCTATAATAATTTGCACTCTTTGTATAGCACTGTCCTTCTTTCCTGTTCTGGCTCCTTCCATAAGACAAGTAGTGTGTATATAGCACTGTCTTTCAATATCAAGTATAAATATCACTGTCTGTCTCTGGGCAAGTAGTGGCCTCAATAGATCAAATTTACATGGGGGTGTTCTGAATAGAATAGGAAGGGGGAGGGGGTCTTTGGGATATATTACCTATATTACCTTTTCGCGCCTTTTTCTGCAACTTCAGTGTATCAGAAGATTTCTTTTTGATCTCATGACGAGCTCGCTTGTATTCTGCAGAGAAATGAATGGGGTGAGAGGGAGAGACATAAATGGGGTGAGAAGATTGTGTCGTGTATGATGATGTAGAAATGATTGGAGTTTTTTCTGACTGTTCTCATGCCAGTGTGGTCCCTGACTATGGGAGCCCCATCCTGAATACAGCAATGTGGTCCCTGACCATAGGAGCTTCATCCTGATTACAGCAATGTGGTCCCTGACCATAGGAGCTTCATCCTGAATACAGTAATGTGGTCCCTGACCATAGGAGCTCCATCCTGAATACTGCAATGTGGTCCCTGATCATGGGAGCCCCATCCTGAATACAGCAATGTGGTCCCTGACCATGGGAGCTCCATCCTGAATACAGAAATTTAGTCATTGACCATAGGAGCTCCATCCTGAATACAGGAATGTGGTCCCTGACCATGGGAGCTCCATCCTGAATACAGCAATGTGGTGCCTGACCATGGGAGCTCCATCCTGAATACAGCAATGTGGTCCCTGACCATGGGAGCCCCGTCCTGAATACAGCAATGTGGCTCCTGACCATGGGAGCTCAATCCTGAATACAGCAATGTGGTTCCTGACCATGGGAGCTCCATCCTGAATACAGCAATGTAGTCCTTGCCCATGAGAGCTCTGTCCTGAACACTGCAATGTGGTCCATGGTCTTGTGAGCTCCATCCTGAATAAAGCAATGTGGTCCCTGACCATGGGAGCTCCATCCTAGATACAGTAATGTGGTCCCTGACCGTGGGATCTCCATCCTGAATATAGCAATGTGGTCCTTGACCATGTGAGATTTTTCCTGAACATCGCAATGGGAGTTCCATCCTGAATACAGCAATGTGGTCCCTGACCATGGGAGCTTCTTCCTGAATACAGCAATGTGGTCCCTGAACATAGCAGCTCTGTCCTGACCTCCGCAGTATGGTCCCTGACCTTGGGAGCTCAGTACTGAATACAGCAATGTGGTCCCTGACTACGGGAGCTCTGTCCCAAATAGAGCAATATGGTCCCCGATGGAGAGGTAATTGTGTGGTTGGCTCACCTCTGGCATGCTCCTTGTCCAGTGTGTTTGCCGTTTTCTTCCAGTCCTCGATCCTTTCCTGGAGAGGAGTTATTAGACTCTCCATGAGAGCACTACGAGATAACATAGAGGAAGGAGTGTGGTCAGCTATATAATACCCAGGACAGGAATGGGTGTGCCATCAATTATAAAATAATCAGAATGGGGTGTGGTCAGCTACAGAATATCTAAGATGGGGGAGTGGTGAGTTATACAATTACCAGGATGGAGGTGTGGTCAGTTATAGAATTCCCAGGATGGGGGTGTGGTCAGTTATACAATTCCCAAGATGGGAGTGTAGTCAGTTATAGAAGTCCCAGGAAGGGGGTGTGGTCATTATAGAATTCCCAGGATAGGGGCGTGGTCAGTTATAGATTTCCTAGGGTGGGGGTGTGGTCAGTTATAGAAGTCCCAGGATAGGGGTGTGGTCAGTTATAGAAGTCCCAGGATAGGGGTATGGTCAGTTATAGGATTCCTAGGATGGGGGTGTAGTCAGTTATAGAATTCCGAGGATGGGGGTGTAGTCAGTTGTAGAAGTCCCAGGATAGGGGTGTGGTCAGTTATAGCATTCCCAGGATGGGGGTGTAGTCAGTTTTAGAATTCTCAGGATAGGGGTGTGGTCAGTTATAGAATTTTCATGATGGAGTTGTGATCATTTCTAGAATTCCCAGGATAGGGGAGTGGTCAATTATAGGATTCTCAGGATGGGGGTGTGGTACGTTTTAGAATTCCCAGGATGGGGGTGTGGGCAGTTATAAAATGATCAGGATGTGGGGGGTTGTCACAGAGTATCCAGGATGGTGGGCTATGGTCAGTTATAGAATATGAGGTAAATACCCCAGCTTTGTGGCTACCAGGTTATAGAGGGGACCCCAGTCAGGTTATAGCGGGTTTCTGGTCCAAGTATGGGAGGCTCTGGTCAGTTAAATGGGGGGGGAGTCTCCGGTCAGGTTATGGAGGTCCACTAGCCCACTTATGGGGGAAATTGTGGTCGGGTTAAGGGGGTATCTGGCCCAGCTTTGGCCTGGTTATGGGATGGTTTGTTCAGGTTCTGGGGTCTCCAGTTAGGCAGGGCAGATGTGATTCACAAAATATATTTGGGCTCCTCACTTGGTGAAATGTCGAAGTTTGCTCTCAATGCTTCGATGTCTCATACACATTCGGGTCAGTGCGGATCCAATGTCACGTGTGGCCCCTGTGAAAGAATCAGAAAATCAGTTTAAAGTCTGAAATCTTCTGATGGGTTTCATGAATTGCGGAATCAATATATGTGAAAGGATCACTCCTGAGGGAGATTTCTCTCCCCAATGGGTGACCCAGACAGCAAGAAAATGTCTAAAGTTTTCCACCCACTCCCCCCCCCCCCACACACGCACACTTTATCTGGACTATTGCACTTAGGTTCACACCTATTTATTGCAGTAACACATTGTAGAATGTAAAACTGACACATGGTACTTACCGCGAGTATTGGTCGCCATGTCTGCCACTTTTTGAAAGGCATCGAGGAAGGCAACAGCAGCCAGCACTGTGGTCCTGCAGGGGAAGATGATGTGTCAGTAGAACCACAAGATATAAAGAGGAAGTGTGCAGGGTGTCCCCCAAAACACACATAGTTCATTTGGTTGAAAAAAAGACACAAGTCCATCCAGTTCAACACACACAAACAGAAAATCTACATATACAGTATCCATTACCCACAGTTGATCCAGAGGAAGGCAAAATCGCCAATAAAGCATAATCCAATTTGTTTCAGCGGGAAAAAAAAATTCTTTCCCGATCCCCCAAAATGCAATCAAAAATGCCCTGGATCAACTTTACCTACAAATGTTAGTATCCAGTTATATTCTGTATATAGGAAAGAATCCAGGACTTTCTTAAAACAATCAACTGAGCTGGCCAGAAACAACTCTTGATGGAGTCTATTCCTCATTTGCACAGCTCTTGCTGTGAAGAAGCCTTTCCGAATTTATAGATTAAATCTTTTTTTCCTCCAGATGTAAAGAGTGCCCCCTTGTCCTCTGTGATGACCTTAAAGTGAAAAACTCTAAACCAAGTTCACTACATGGACCACTTATATATTTAATCATGTTGATCATATCCCCCGTTATGTATTATACATGTTGATCATATCCCCCCTTATATATTATACATGGAGATCATATCCCCCCTTATGTATTATACATGGAGATCACATCCCCTTTATGTATTATACATGGAGATCATATCCCCCTTATGTATTATACATGGTGATCATATCCCCCCCCTTATGTATTATACATGGAGATCATATCCCCCCTTATGTATTATACATGGAGATCATATCCTCCCTTATGTATTATATATGGAGCTCATATCCCCCCTTATGTATTATACATGGAGATCATATCC